GTTCCTCAGCGAAACGTGATAAAATTTGCAAGCATCGCTCTCGCCAGAACTTTGCAATTAAATACTAATCAGCACGGCTCGAATCTAATTTCGGTGCGGAAGGATCGAAAAAGACGCGAACGCGTACGATCCGATAGCGATTTCGTCACCACACACATATTCAGTGATCCAATTAAAACTTCTTACGCACAAAATGCACCGCGGCTCTCTCTCCGTTGATTTTTCTTCATATCCAGATATCAACGTGTCAATTTTCTTGAATGAAATAAATTAAGGGAGCGCGCAAATGATGGGCGTGCAGCAAACGCTGGAGCCGGAAATCGTTACTGAATTAAAATTTAACACAAAAATATTATTAGACATCGAGATCTTCTACCTTGACCGAATATATGGGCCTCTTTTAATTCTGTTATTCCTGTTGAATTAGGGTAAATTTATATTGCATTTGAATAGAAATAAATTCGAACGTTAAACTTTTCTCCGTTTTGATTTTTCGCTTTAAGACAGCACATTTCTTTTTTAGATATTCCCTTCATCTCGTCGCACGTGCGCGCTGATCGAATTATGCTGCTTTTTATCGGGATGAGCGTTTAGCAAATCTATCGATATTTCCGATCGCGGGGTAATCGAGTTTAGCTGGAGACTAATTTTCAGTAGCTGTCCGAGTCGAGAGAGAGGGGGGGTGCTCCCCTGATAGCGATAAAGCAACGCACACTTTAATTATCGTACTGTCAGATTCGCTGTGCGTCCTACACGGAAATTGTATTAAGCTATTTCATCGAGACGTCATAATACCGCATAATCGAGTTATATGTCTTTATGCCGTGCGCAATACTGTTCGCGATGATTGAAAAATCGCGCCACAGGGCGGCGATATTAATCCGACGAATTGACGTACCAATTTGGTCTACGCAAGCGTGGTTAAAAAGCGTGTCGGAAAAGTCGCACACGCTTTCGTCGATCGCACTGTACGACTTCATCTCGGATTTATCTCTTACATTTGCCAATTAAATGCGTGGGCAGAGCAAACCGCGATTTTGCAAAAGATCGACCAAAACGCGCGTTTCTCGCAAATTGAAAAACAAGAAGCGATGTTTCTGCGAATATACAGCTCGTCGATTTAATCCGACACACTGTGTGTCAGAAGATAGATAGAGAGAGAGAGAGAGAGAGGAGAAAAGAGTTGCTCGTCACGACGAGATTCCGCAAATTATACTGTTTAAGGAACGAGGGCGCGACCGGACCTTGCGCAACGAATACAAATGGAGAGTCAGCCGGCAGCGCGTCCCTTCGGCGCGCGTGACAAAATTCGTAAAGGAGCTCTCGAAGCCAGCAGCCTCCATCACCCCCTTCCTCTCGCCGTAGGGTTTATACTCGCGGGGGATTTCACTGACACACGAGAGAGAAAAAGAGAATCGCTTTGGCGACAACGTGATAATATTTCTGAACTTGGGGAGGGTCTCGTTCTCGCGCTCGTGAAGAAAAAAATTCGTCGGCCGTATCTCGAAAGAGAGAGAGAGAGAGAGAGAGAGAGAGAGAGAGACCGAGACCGAGAGAGCCGCTGGTCTACACCGAAACTGGTTTCGTAAGTGCCGCTTCGGCAATAAAAAGAGACGGCGAGGGAGAAAACGAGGGAGACAGAGGCACGTAACGCGACCGCATTCACGACGAGCGCATTTACATGTTACGTAAAATTTCGTTGGGACCCGCGATACACGACACGCCGCGCCGCGCCGTAACGGCCGGCGAGCTCTCGCGCGCTGTTCGCTCGCCTCCCGGCCCATTCGCATCTCAATGAAAGTCTCTCTCTCTCTCTCTCTCTCTCTCTCTCTCTCTCTCTCTCTCTCTCTCTCTCTCTCTGTGTAGCACGCCAGCTTTTGAATATGTACGAATTTAGAACAGGGTAGATAAACAGATTTAATCAAAACTTCAGCGGGCGATGTAAGACACGTGACAAAATTCTGATGATAATACTTCTTTCAATGAAAATCGTCTAGAAAAGAAAAGGCAGAAGGATATTCATTTATTTTTGCGCACACAAAAGTTGGAAAAGTGTAGCAATAATTTCTATAACCGCGATTATAAATTATTTGAAGGATTAAAAAGCTCGGATAGTATTTTAAAACAGATTTATTCGCCGTCAAATATGCTCGTTGTTATCAATACAATCTTATTACTTTTCGATATCGTAAGATAGATTAAAAAAAAACACTTAAATTTCTTCTCTATATAAGCTTCTTTCTTTCTGTCAATGTAGATCAACAACTTGATTCTCTCAACTATAATTCTTCATCTTTGTCTCATTTTTCGAATTTTAGAACCGAGATTAAAATTAAACTGCATTGAAAGAAATGGACGGGGTTAGTAGTGACTTCACTATTTCCATTACTTTAAAGATATTTTGTGCAACGCATTCGCACTGCACCCTACGTATAATTATCGAAACGTCTGTTTTTGTATCATAGGAGACGCGTTCATACTAGAACGGCAATGTAAAACGTCCGATTTATCATGCGTTCGATAGCTTGTTTTAATGTGTATCGCAGCAGCGACGGAAACGTTGCAAATACTGGCGGAGTAAAAAAAAAAAAGGCGGAGCTTTTACTCCAATTTTCAAGGATGATAGATCGTCGCTCGGCCGTATTTCAAAATTGGAGCGGAACGAACGTATAACGCTCTCTCGGTTATCGCGCGCTCCTTCTTTTTTATCCGCACACACGACATTACCGTGTGCTGCGACGTTATTTCTGTCTTCGCGACTGACTCATCGACGTCTCGGAAAGAAATGACCCTTGGTCGCGATACCGTCGCGGCTTTGCATGCTTATCAGTCCGCTCGGCGCAAAGGCGACGCTATCGGAAAGAATGTTCCCGTACAGTCTCAAGTTCGTCGGCGCGGAACCTTCATTCGCGCGCCTTCGACGCCACTTATTCTCGATATATCGTAAATCAGATTTTAAGACTTATCAAATTTACATAATACACGGTTCGGGATCGCCGCTTTCCAAGTTAAACGGCCAGCGTGTCTCTGGAAAGTCTGTTAGGCCCCGAGAATATGTTATTCGCGCGTGAATTCAATCGGATAATTTCAAGCGATAGGAGGGCCTGGGCCTTGATTAGGAATTCTTATCTCAATATTCTTGAGAGAAGCACCTCTCTTCTAGCGTATGAAAAAGAAATTGGAATTTAAAATTCAACGTTTTCGTGTCATAACAGGAATAATAATGCGATAAGAGAGAGCAACAGTAACCAGTGCGATGACATTCGATCTTGGCGCACTTTTCTGTTTTTCTTGCCGTTTATAACCGTTTGCGCACGACTTCTTCTACTTAAAGCCACTTGAGGCTACCATTTATTAAGTCTGGCAAGTTCCTCTCCCGCAGCACATCGTGTGAATCTACCGCGTGCTGCTTTCTCTCTTTTTCCTCTTATCCCATTCATAAAGCAAGAGATATTGAAAAAGAAATGGCAAGAACAATTTCGCTTTTGCTGGCGGGAAAAAAAGAGGAAGAGAGATAGATTCTCTCTCGCTGGAGGAAGAATTCACCTGCTGATCTAAGTCACCATTTGTATTGTCCGCGTATATTGCGCGGGCACATGTGGCTCATAAAATCGTATCGCGTCCAGCCGTTTCCATTCGAAGATATTTCTGTGTGCGCAACGCGGATAAAAACAAATATGAATGGCAGCGATACCGGCGGCAACGTTATACGCCATCCACGACCACGTCGTTTAAAAGGTTAATGTCGATATTCCAACGCGAATGTAAATAAACATTTTTAGCGACACTCCGCGGACTGATCATTCTGGGGAAAAAGATCAGGAATTACGAGAATCGTCGACATACTTTCGTGTTTTCTCCCTCCCTTTTAAAATGCACTCTTTTTACTATTTCATTAAAATTAAGGACGCGCCGAGGAAGTAATAGTTGGTAGTCTCCATCGAGTTCGATGGTAATAAAAAGAGCACACGAAAAATAATATTGCTCTTCGTTATTTATTTTGTTATCCTTCCATTTTATTATTTCACAACAAGAATCTTACCTAGAAATGCAACGCGATACGGACGCACTAAATTATACCGTCAGGTGGAGTTAACACCAAGATTCGTGTATAAGAAACCCTCAAGGTCGCTTCTTCGAACGGATGGATTTTACGGGTTTTAGTGTTCAGCAAATAACATTTGCCGCTTAGTTTGGTATACGAATATGGTTTGCCGTTTAGTGGCTGATGTATTGATGCAAAAGCCAGCCGTGTTTGGACAGCATCTACTCGGTGGAAAAAGCGAAATGGGTTTACCGGTTATATGCTGTTTTGACCGCAAAAACCGCCCAGTTTCTACAACAATTGAAGCAACTGGTCGCAAAATCGCCTGCATTATTCTGCTCTCTAGCGAAAGAGCGAAATGTTGAGCATCTTTTCGGCAATTTTAGTTTCTCGGCTCTTCAATTCTGTAATTTGCGTTCAAGGTAAACTGGACTCGGAAAGTCTAGTATTTCTACATTTTTTTATTGTTTGTCTCCGAAAATAGGAGAGATAATTTTTTAATTCTTTCATATGTTTTAAGCAACGTCGTATATATTAAAATTAAAATTAAAAAAATACCAGTGCCAAAAAAATCAGTACCAAATTGATGCATTCGCATTCCGTAATTTCTCAAAAGCTTCTGTAATTCTAAATTCCAAAAGCCTTTGTAAATCTATTTAAGAGATGCAGAGAACAAAAAGTAACTTGACACACCTATACAGTGGTAAACTCGAAAAGAGATCCTATACAACTTTGCTCTTTATACGAGAGAAGTGTTGGACGGTCTCGTTCGTAAAGTTAACAGCTTGGACGTAGGTATGCCGTCCGTGCGTCTGTGGAACGGCCATCTCTCACGCGTGTAGCCGTGCTCGCTAAAGCGGAGCTCTCTCGGCTCGAAGGTCGAACACTTTCGAGCGTCGAGCACGGGTCCCCGGCATCAGTGTTCGAAAAGAACGGCAGAGAGGCGGATACTTACATCTTATAGTGGTGCTGCATGTGGTGGCCGACTAGGTGCATGTCGGTGGCGTGTTGCTGCTGCTGCATCTGCTGGTGCTGCTGCTGTTGCTGCGGTTGGTGCATACCCTGATGATGGTGAGTCTGCGGGGGGTCCAGGCTAGATGCACCCAGCAGGGTAGCGCTCTCCCTGAACAACGTTGCCACCTGCATCCTGGCTGTGTGTCGTTCGCGTTCTTGGTTTCACCGGAAGTGCCGATTCGCCGGCGTCGCTCGCGCGTTATTCCTTTCGTATATCCGGATCTTGACGGACGCTTCTTCACCAAAGTGTAGCCGGGAGGACGGCTTATTCTCAGAAGAGGATAGGAACGGATCGAGATAATCCCTTAGTAACGTGAATACGTAAGGTTTTTCTTCGTGACGACGAAAGTCGTCCGTAGTCTACCGTAGGTCCCCACGGCTCGGGATCGATACGAGATCCTTCGAAGGTGATTATTAGGATCGCGGGTGGTTCCGAGAAAGGTTCTTCGGATCGCGTGATCGCGAAAGAGTTGCGGATCTTTTCTGAGTCTTTCGATTACCACCGCGATCGCGAGTGTGCTCGCAAGTAATATATCTCCCACTGTCTCTTAATTTTTAGTAGTGATTTCGTAGCGACAAAGGTTGGAAAGAATTACAATCCTCGGATACAACTATTCGGTGTTCCGCTATCGAATCCCCGACGACAATGGCTCGCAGAGAAAACGTGCCGTCGGTACGTGAAAAGCGCGGCTTTTCACGTTCCTCGCTTTTCACGAACACCTGATTTGGAATAACACCTGATTAACGATCGCGCGGTACACGCCGCGGCCAGCAGCACGACGGCCACCGTCGCGGCGACGAAACCGACGTCGAGGTTCACGACGCGGCGAGAATCTTTTTCTCTCTTTCTTTTATACTCTCTGTTTTTCTCCCTCTATCTCTCTCCCCCTCTCGGTGAATCCCGAGAGTCGAGAACTCAGTCGAGACCTCGAGAAGTCGTCATCGTTGCTCTCCTCGTCGTAACGACCGTCGGCGACGTTACCAGCATCCTCTCCACGAGACCGTGATCGCCAGCCGGAACGCCTCCGCGCCGACAGGCCGGAAGCCACGAAAGTCTCTGCTCTCCTCTCTTTCCTCTCTTCTCCTGGGTCCACTCGCGCGCGCGCGCGCGCCACCGCCTGGGTCCGCTCGCACTCACACACACTCACGAAAGGCGCGGACGCGCACACAACACGCGAGCCGCAGCACACGGGATCACTGGCCGCGCGGATGTACTTCGTTTGGGAGCTTTCTTTCTCGGAGGAGTTTCTCTCCCCTCGGCTTCGCGTGCGTTCTCCTCTCTCTCTCTCTCTCTCTCTCTCTCTCTCTCTCTCCTTCTTTACCTCCTATCGTTCTTCTTCTCTGCCTCGCACTACGTTTATATTATCGTCCCTTCACCCGCGACACAATGCCGCCTGAAATTCGCGCACTCCGTGTCGTCTGTCATGTTCTCGCCGCGGCCGTCGCGCGCACCTTTTGAATTACGCGCACCGCCCGCCGTCTCGCCGCACCACCGTCGATGCGATGCGGTGCGGTGCGGTGTGGTGCACCCACGCCCCGCTAAATGCAACCGCGCGAGGGTGGTTGGCGCGTACTTGCGCTTCTCACGGCGTGTGCGTGCCGGTCACGTCGCGCGAAGCAAGACGACACTCTGCGCTACGTTTCTTACGATGCGATGACGTCTCTCTCTCTCTCTCTCTCTCTCCCTCTCTCCCCGCCGTTGACTCCGTCGAGCGTTGTTCGTACTCCGATAACTCGCGCGATACCTCGCGTGTGCGTCGCACGAGTATCGTGAGAGCTGAACGATATCGCGAACCTCTCGAGAGGCGTGTACGTATGTATATTCACCGTGCTGCGTGAAATCCTCCTGCGAGAGGGACTTGCTTGACGGAACACGCGCGCGTACGCACCGTGTTTCGCGGACGACTCACAGACTTCTCCGCCGCTTTTTGCGTTTCTCCTCTACTCTCGCGAGTGTGCCTCTCCTCTTTTTCTCTCTCTCTCTTTCGAGTTCTCCTGCCCTCGCCTCCGCGGCGCAAACTCTCCCTGTCCCTCTCGTTCTCTCTCTTTCTCTTTCTCTCCCTCTCGTCGTGTAAACACGCGCGCACACACACACCGCAGAATCTGTAACCGCGGCAGCAAGAGTCGGCACCGCACTGCTCGTCTGTATCGCTCGCTCGGCCGCTCGAACCGCATCGCTCGTACGTTTCCGTTGTCGCTCGACGATGCTCGGTCGTGTTCGGGTTCGAAGCCTCACAGCGGTGGAGGCGGTGGAGGCGGTGGTGGCGGTGGTGGAGGCGGCGGCGGCGGCAGCAGCGGTGGTGGCAGCGGCTGTGGCTGGTCCGGCATAGTCTGTCCTTCGCTACTTTGCACTCGCGCGCCAATCTCTCTCTCTCTCTCTCTCTCTCTCCTCTCTCTCTCTCTC